GAGGGAGCCCTGTGGCCGTGGCTATGGAGCTTTGTGGCCATGGCTACGGAGCCCTGTGGCCGTGGCTATGGAGCCCTGTGGCTGTGGCTATGGAGCCCTGCGGCCGTGGCTATGGAGGGAGTCTTACGGCTGTGGCGTATGGAGGCTGTGGCGTATGGAGGCTGTGGCGTATGGAGGCCGTGGCATACGGAGGCCGTGGCCTACGGAGGGAGTCCCACAGCAGTGACCTACGGAGGGAGTCCCGCGGCCGTGGCCTACGGAGGGAGTCCCGTGGCCGTGACCTATGGAGGGAGTCCTGTGGCCATGGCCTACGGAGGGAGTCCTGTGGCCATGGCCTACAGGGGTTGAGTGATGTCTCCAGTTATCACACTTGAACTTCCCCAGCCATGGCGTTTGGGGACACAGGACTGGTAAACGATGCGTCTCCATGGACCATTTCACACATTCAAAGCAGTCTTGTCTCTAAACACCTGATCTGAGAAGCACAATTAGCTCTGGGCTCTGGCCATGCCTCAAGGCTCCAGGGACTGCTCCTGGCAGCTGACTTCATTCTTGTTTGTGGTTTGTATGGTCAGAACTGGAACCTTCTACTAAAATGGATATATCCTGCAGGCATGCATGGAACAAGGCAGCCCATCAAGGCTCCAGGACACTGGGTCTGGGACACATCGGAGGCTCACCTGTTTTAGGGTTAGAATTGCCTCATGTATTTCCCTTTCCAGACTTCACAGACTAGCCCCCAACCTCTGGCATGGCCAGCATGGCCTTCTCAAAACAGTAATAAATTCTCTGTGGCTATGGGTGGCTGGGTCTGGACAGCTGCCCCAGGGTGTGTGTGTGTGTGTGTGATTTCCAGAGGACCCCCTGGCAAGCTGACAATCAGCCTCCTCCTGTGGTCCAGCATGCCCCCTAGGTAGAAACAGCTCATCTAAGGTCCCAAACTCCTAGAAATCTATCTTTACCCCACCCTGGGGAGGAAGGTGCTCTTGATATGACTATGTGAACCTCCCCTGTGTGCTTTTGGGTGTCCTGGAAGGCTGAGGGGAAGAGATTGACCAAAGGGCCAGGCTCTCCCAGTCAGAGCATGTGGGCAGGCGGTAGGGCAAGGCAGTTGCTGTAACCTGCCTGATAAGGTGCCTAGGACCACACCTCCCCTTCCCATGGCCTGCCTGCAAACCCAGCCTTCCTACCCCCACCCACTCTTTGCCTGTCTGGGACCCACTTGCTCAGAAAGTATACATGAGCCCTGGTGAGGTGTTATGGAACGGAGTTAGCTGTAAGGACTCAGGGAAGAAGTTCTGGGGCCTAGGTAGAGAAGCAGGTGGTTTACCCTGGGCTAGGGCGGCCAGACTCACATAGGGTCTATCAGTGGCCATCACTCTGTAGCAGGAGGGGTCTGAGCCTGTACCCACATTCCATCTCCCTGCTCAGCCACCTACCTGGCTGCTGAGCCCAGAGAAACAGGAGAGACAAGCTGGTCTTCATCTAGATGGGGCTACAGCCTTCAAGCCCATGCTGGAAGAGCTGCCACCTCTGGGGCACCCTGGGGAAAGCCACCTGACCCATATTTGGGTTGGGGTATTTACTCTCTTGTGCATCTACAGCATGGAAACACATTTTCAGTCTCTCAGTGTGTGTATGTTGGGGGGGGGTCCCCCACAGGTATAGGCAGATACTTCAGCCCAGCCTTTTGCTAGCATCTAAAGATGCCAGGCCCTGAGACTGGTACTTGGCTCAGGAGGATTTGTGTGCTGTGAAATATCATCAATAAAAGCCACCTGCACCCCTGGAACCTCCATAGCTTCCACTGATTCATCTCCAGGCCTGACGGACTGTGGGAGCCTGTTTTCAGGTTCCTCATGGCTTTACTGAGGAGATCTGCATAGAGAGGATGATTGGACCATGGGCCTGAGTGCAGGTGTCTGAGATGGTCTGCATTTGGCTGTGCTGGGGTTGGGGGGTCTTTTGCTCCACCCCTTGACGTCTCTATAAATACCCTGGGGCAAAGACCGTTAAATAGGTTCCAGGCCCTCTCGAGGCTATCCTGTATTTTCTGTTTATCTCCACAATCTAAATCCCTCTAATATTTCCTGCTGCTCGCACTCAAGAAAACTCTGGGGAACTGTGGGGTTGGTGGGTAAATGCTCTGTAGCGGACATCCTGTCTTTTCAGGATCCCTGTCCCCAGCCATCCTTGGACCCCATCAATTCTCCCAGCCCTCATACTCTGCTGGCCTTAAGGGCTCTCATGAAACACTTGTTCCAAGTGGAGAGGGTCTGTCCCAGCCCAAGAGGATCTAGAATTTAAGCACTGCAACAGAATTTTCAAAGTATACAAGACTAGCAAGAAGCCTTTTATTTTTCTTGTTCCTAACTAATCTTACCAAAATCTGCTCAGAATAGCACCAAGAGCCTCGGGTGCTGCAGCCTGTGGCTAAGTGAAGCGCAGTGACAGCAGTGTCGTGAGGAGCAGCCGGGACTGGCAGTGGTTCTGCGGTGAGGAGCCCAGAGCTGGGAGCCTGTGCGGTGCCTCGGTGTCTGCTGCAGGTTCTAGGCTGTCTCAGTGGCATCTATTTAAAGCTGTGCGGTGACAGGCAGGGGAAGCGCTATGTAGGTGCCTAAGCGCTTAGTGCAGAAGAGGAGCAAGAGCAGAGAGAGACCAAGGCAAAGGATAAAACAGTTGCACGTGGGGGTGACATCAGTCCAGCTATACATCCGCCACCCTGACGGAGGGGGCCTCAGCTGGCCAATGACAAGTCAGACCCACAACGGACAGAAAGCAAGACGGACATGAAGGAAGCATGACATGACCCATCTCCTAGGTCCCTCTTACTCTACCCACCCCATGTACCTCACGCTGTGAGGCATCTCAAGACAGATTCCCGAAGTGTGTGACTTCCGTCTCTCTCTGCCAGAAACCCCAGGCCATGTTCAGCCCCATCATGCTCTCCACCTGTCGTTCTGACCCCTCATCTTACAGGCACCATGGAGTCACATCTTAATGACCTCAAAGGGTTTGGTTGTTTGTTTTTTTTTTCCTGAGTCACAATTTTTTTTGTGGTGGGGGGTCAGGGTGGGGGGGTGTTCTTTGTGTAGCCCTGGCCATCCTGGAACTCACTCTGTAGACCACGCTGGCCTTGAACTTGTAGAGATCTGCCTGCCTCTGCCTCCTGAGTGCACCACCACGCCCAGTGAGTCATGAGTCTTACACTTGCACATCTTCAAAGAGTCCCAGGACTTTTCAAATGGCTGGGCGGGTGAGAACGGGGTGGTTCTGAGGCAGTGTTCCGGAAGGAGCTGAGCAATGGCAGGTGTGGTAGGGAAGCCAACAGTGCTACAGGTTGAGCTCACATTGAAGTCCACAGCCTCGGCCCCCAGCCTCACCACATCACTTAGGACCTGGGGTCTGGGGGGCTCAGTTAGAATCCCTGGGGTGGGAACAACAAAACAAACACCCTTGGGTGTTGGCCACATCCATCGTGACATTAGAAGTTTTACAGCCCTGGGCTTGGAGGTTCTAAGCAGAGATCGCTTATATCCTAGAGCAAACCTTCCAGCCTGGGCCTCTGTCTGCAGAAGAGGGTGCCTGTCTGCCCCAAGGCCCTGTAACATAGCTTCCCAAAGCAACTGCATCTCACATAGGGAACCCACAATGATCTAGCCTGGAGCTGGGGGTAACATCTGCCTATCTAGACAAACAGCCTCAACCCTGGCCTAGAGCCCTAGGGGGAGTCACTGTCCATGCCCATGGAGGTCTGTATGGGCAACTCCAGGTATCCCTAAAAGGTGCCTGCCAGGGGTGGGCAGTTTGTCTACACAGCAAGCCCCACCCCTATACTTTGCAATACATCTTAGTGTTTCCCTGGCCTAGGGCCTGCCTTTCCTCCAAGTGGGAGCATCCAGCTCTACCGTTCTACACATGGATTGACAGAGATGTCCTAAACAGCTGGCAGTGGTCCAGGAGACGGGAGGCACTGGAGCTACGATTCATCCCCAGCCTCTGCCTGAAGCACACATTTGCTAACTGGGATGCAAAACAGGACCATGGCCTTGACTTTGCATGGTTGAAGGCACTCCTCCCTCACAGACTCAGGGATGTTCTCAAAGACTGTAGGGCAAGTGAGTTCTCCCTTGACCAGGGAAACTGAGGCACAGGCCCATGTTAAGAGCTCAGAGCAGCAAGGCACAAGCCTGGACTTTGAAATTAAACTTCTTAGGACCTCCATCATCCCATCAGGTTAGACTGCTGTGGTAGTGATACCTTTGGGTGGTACTTACACTGACTCTCCATCTTGAGGTCCCAAGGAAGCCACAAAGGGCAACCAGCAAATGGTGAGGCTGCATTGCTGACCTGCAGAGGCTGGCTCAGCAGTCCTCAGGAAGCCCTAGTTGGAGGCACTGCCCTAGCTCCCTGCTAACACTTCA